GCATCCATGCTGAAAGATGTTCCAGGATCTACTGTTTTAGCATGTATCACAACCTTTTATCATATCATCTGACTTGCCTATTTTTTCAGGCTTCTAAATCTAAATTAATGCAAACGTAACTGAGAGGTGAAAAGTTATTACATTTTACAAAAGGAGACATAAAGGCTTATTTTATTCCGTACTCATATATCAGTTCACATATCAGTAATGACCTGTTGTGACAACAGTTAAGAAGGCATAAACTGATGGAAAAGGTAAAAACAGAGAAGAACAGAACAGAAAAGAACAGAGGAGACAACAGTAAAGAAGAGAGGAGATGAGAACAGAGGAGGAGAGGAGAGAATGAGATGCAGTTCAGTTGTCTTTGAATTGCAGCCCTTTTTGTTAGACTGCTAGACTCAGCCTTGTGTGTGAGAAAAAGAGGTGTGGAGATAAAGAGTTCTGTCAACCATGTGTTCATTAACTATATTTTAAGTACTAATAAAAATGATTAACTATACAATGATGTGACAATTCCTAGAGAAATTCCAGATTATTGTCATGCCAACCTGCAAGGAATTAAGGTGCCAAATTAAATTTTGTTATAATACAAATTATTTTTAAATAATTTACCAATTTCCTTCATTACACGCTTTTCATATTCTAGCCATGATTTTGTTACTTGATAAAATTAATAAAAGCTTTAATCATGCAAACAGATAAATAAAAGCATCAAAGCAGTTTTAAATGCAGCCAGAAAAAAAAAGAAAAAAAAATTACAACTTTGAATTCTCCACACCACTGAAAACAAAATATCATTTCACTATTCCTGCCCTTTTATTTCTTCTGCTCCTTGCTACTCAAGATGCAACTTCAGTTTTCACAAGAGATTTTCTCTTTCATGAAGATTTATGTTATGTGTGATGGCATTCTGCCATTTTATGATTTGCTTCTGAATGTTCCGGAGATATGCACACATATATTTTTATTTTTTATTTTTTAAGAAGGAAATGACACTATTAAGAGGGATATAGAGCAGTTATTTAATGGTAAGTCACAAAACTGTGGACACGCCACAGCTGAGTAACTTCTGTGAGCAGCCTTTGGTAGCCATACTCCATCTGCCCTTAATGTATCTAACACTCACTTGATGCATCACAACAAAAATGGATTAAACTCCTTGGGGCAGAGTTTTCCATAACTTTTCTGAAGTACCTCATGCACATCTGTGAGCAGCTGGGAAAAACAAACAAATAAACAAAAACAACAACAAAAAAAACCCACACCTAGATTCCAGTTCACATATCAGTAACGACCTGTTGTGACAACAGTTAAGGCATAAACTGATGGAAGAGGTAAAAACAGAGAAGAACAGAACAGAAAAGAACAGAGGAGACAACTGTAAAGAAGAGAGGAAATGAGAACAGAGGAGGAGAGGAGAGGAGAGAATGAGAATTCCAAGTTCTTAAACTTTCATCTCTAGTTTTAGCCTCCAGTGACTACTTTCTCACTTTTTTGCCCAAGAAAAGACATGACATAAACATCTTGTTGATGACTTCAAATCAAATGAAAAAGTCCAACTAACTATCAGTTATATACATTACCTAAGTCCTCACCACAATGTCACACAATATACAAAACCAGCTTTGAAGTCAGCAGACCTTTTGCTGTGAACCTACTTCAAATTTGGCCAAGATTGTGTACAATACTTTATGAACGATCGATATTCTTTAACCACTGTTGTATTTACCTTAGGAAATCAACACAGATTAGCATATTTGAATCTTCCATTTGGGTAGAAACCAGCCACTGGCTGGAAAGAAGCAGTTCAAGTTCTGCCACATTATTTGCCCAACTCCCTTTACCTCCCTGCACTCACGTTCCTCCTCTTTTTTCACTTCTCCACATTCCTGTGTTTCAACTCTGAGAGAACAAAATATCTAGTGATCTACAAGAAAGGAGACCCTGATCTCCACAGACCACTCACACATGCTTGAAGCATATGTGCTCTACAACATGGACCTCATAACAAGCTTTTCCCATAATGAGCTGAGCTATCGATTTTAACATGCTGAAGTGTTGGTACATTCATATAAATGTTAATTTTAAGGATTCCACAAGACCTACACAGGTTCTGATTCAGCACTGGTGAAGCCAGTGAAGCTTTCTTTTGACATCCAAAGATCTGCATGTAGAAGTTCCCTATATAGCATAACCCAAGTCCATTTTTTAATGGATTTCACTTGAAACACCACAAAAAAACTGGTTTTGATGTAACTTGAAAGTTAAACTTCAGTGGATGTTTCTAGATCTGCATTCTACTAAAGCTCAAATAACATAATAAAATAAAGCTCAAATATAAATAAATATAAAATAATAAATATAAATAAACAATAAATAAATATAAAAAATAAATATAAAATAAAGCTCAAACATAATAAAATAAAGCTCAAATAATAAGAAAATTTGTTCCCTGCATGAATTATCCAAAAATCTTAAAAGACACTCGTATCAGCACTTGGTGCTATTGCTTGTGCCTTTCTGGATACAATAGATTTTAATTTAACCATTGAAGTTCACCCCTTCAGTTGAGTTTTGAAGGCATGTGGCTGGAAGAAAGAGCACAAGCATTCATGCAGTTTCATCTCTGCATACAGCTGCCCTGTCTCCTTAATAGGCTGACTGCATACAGTGGCTTTAAGCATAAGGATGGTCATGATAAAATCCAGTGATAGAAAGCAGATCCAGACTGAGAGAAAGCACCCATTCCAGCCTTTAGCAAAAAACCTTGAGCTACTGTCGCTCTTGGCAAATAAAATTTAGATGATGTGGCTTCCACATGACTGTTAAATGTTCCAGTGTTTTGAAATTGTTCTTCGGGAAACGTAAAACAACTTTTATATAAGAGAAGTGTCCTTCTACACACAGGGTTAGTCTTCAAATCAGAAGACATTTTGCTTGCAAATATTCAGCAAAAGACTGTGCAATTCTGTGTGATAGAAGTTTACAGACCAGTTATTTCACTTGACTTGGAGCTGGTTTCTGCCACCTGTTACCAGCAAAATGTATTGTTCATACTTCTGCACAAATTACAGAAATTACTTCAGTTGGGAGGAGAGGATGATGAAGAAGAAAAGTACGTGTGTTACATCAGTAGCTAGTTGAATACTTTTGTGTTTTTCAAAGCCAGTCTACTGTCTGTTGAATAACTGAATTTAAACTAATGTGAAGAAAGAAAGACAGCAGATTTCCTCTAAAATTGTTCATTTTTAAGGCCTTTAGCTAAGTTAGAGAGCAGATATTATTGTCAGTTTCTTTACATCGTTCATCTAGAACAGCCGCATCGAGCATCAAGGAAAATCTGTTTCTGTTTCAAGGCAGCATGGATAGCCTGGGCTCCCACAAAGACCAATTAGCACTCTAGTAAAAAGATTGATCTCCAATCCTACCTAAAGAGATATATTCTAGTGTTTTTAGTATCCTTTTGTACGCTTTTGAAGAAGGCTCCTCTTCCTGCATTTCATCAGCTCTCCCTCTCATGGAAACTCTAAATCACGCATTTAAAAATAGACCATCAGATTATCTGGGTAAATCATAAAGCTCAGCTTATCTCCTTCTTCCCCTTTAAAATATAGAATTTATTTTGTCCAGCAGCTCAGCAGCGTGAAGCCATAAATAATCCTATATATCTCAATGTCTGGGTATATCTCCAGTATGTGTACATATGCCACTATAGGGCACATATGCATGCATGGAGGAAGGAGAATTTACACACTGTAGTGTAAATTCTCCTTCCTGGGCACAAAGGTGCATGAATTTGCAATGTTATTGCAATGTTTATGTCTGCATTGTGTGTGTCCTAGCATCACAACGCAGCCCTATCAGTCCACAGAGAATAATGCCAGAGTTTAGCAGAAGTAATGTACCATGTACTTAAATTATGCATTTATTTGATATTTAACACTGATCTACATCCCAGAATCCATGTATTTCTCCCGAAGGCAAACAAAACCAATGCAATACCAAAGAGGGAAGAAAAACTCTCAATTTCTCTTTCCCAGTCACCAGCCTTAAGCTGCAAATCCTGACTCCCAGGCCCAGCATTTCCTATACGTGCATCCTTTCATTCTCCTCCCACTGCCAGTGCAGCCCATCAGGCCACTGGAGCTGGAGAAAGCCCTGCAGGGCTATAAATAGCTACACGGGGGAGGGAGAACAGAGTGTAGCAGCACATTTCCGAAAATCCTTGCTGCAGAATGAGGGTGGTTTTTTTTTTTTCCTTTTTTTTTTTTTTTTTCTGGGTTAATTCAGAGAGGGAAAGGAACTGCTAGGAAGTTCACTGACATACCAGGGAATGTCTGTGGAAAGGGGGGCAACAGCTGCCATGGAGAAACTAAAATGGGAATGCTTGGCTCACTGGAAGAACAATGAGGTGGGTTTCTTCCTTTGGCTTTCCCATATATTTTGAATCGATTCTGCATAGACCTCCTGAGATGACCTATGGACATGAAGGCTTATACAGAGGGGATATGAACCAAAAAAAGAAAGAAAAAAAAAAAAAAAAAAAAAGCATTACTGACACATGCAGCTTATTTCCTATTCCAAGTTTGTATTGACTCAAGTACATTTATACGTACTGGATTTGCACCGACCGTGCACGAGGTGCTCCCGAACATGCCCCAGCAGATGCAAATGCTGCCCTTCCCCAACCCTCATTTACTTCCGAGCTACCAAGACGACAGTCCTATTCTCCAGGAATCCCCATATCCATCCTGTCTCCCGGAAACTTTCGGTAGCTACAGGCAGCGCCTGAAGCATCGGGGCTCGCTGTCCCCTTCCCCGCTAGAGACATCCCGGGCACCGTCCGGCTCACCCTCCGGCTGGCCGCCCCGCAGGAGGAGCGAACCCCCCGCCACCCCCGAAAGCACGGCGCTGCTCGGCGCCTTCCCGGCTACCTGCCGGGCACGCATCGCGCGGTTCTGCCCTGCTGCAGTTTCCGGCCCAGCCCGGCCTTTTCTCACCGTCCTCCAGAGCCGCTGCCGCTTGGCGCTGACGGAGGTGGCGGTGACGATGAGATGGGAGACGGACACCACGAGTCCGAAAACGATAGCCAGCAGGGTCCGGACGGGGAGCAGTGAATACGAGACGAAGGTGACCAGCATGAGCTGCCACATGCCCTGCTCCGGGGCGCTGAGGGGTTCCATGCCGTAGGCGCCTAGCGAGAAGGGGCAGCAGAGGAAGGAGAAGGTGAAGCTAAAGAGCAAGGTGAGCTTGACGATCTGCTGCAGCTGGGTGACCTGCAGGTATTTGACGTTAGTGACGATGAAGAGAGAAAGGAAGATGATGCAGTGCACCGGGTGCGAGCCTTTGGAAATGGTCAAGCTGGGTCCAGAGAGCAGCTCCACAAGGGCCAGGCTGGCGGTGAGCACGATGAGAACGGCCAGCGCTTTGAGGGTAGACTTCTGCTCCAGCTTCAGGTTGTAGCTCTGGAAAAGAGCTTCCAGCTCCTTGCAGTCGAACTCATCTTCACAGGCAATGGCATCCAGCAGCAGCAGAGGAGGAGGTTCTCCCAGCCTGGCTCCCGCTCCCGCCACCGCGGCAGCAGGCGGAGAGCAGCAGCAGTGGAAGCACTTCTTCCTCTTGGTCTTGACTTTATGAAACGGTATTTCCTCCATATCATTGCCATTCATAAACCCCGGGGAAGAAATGCTCCTCCTGTTGTCCTCCGCTGCCGCTCCTCCGCCTCGCTGCTCATAAAAGAGAGGGGGGCTGCGAGCAGGAGCCGCGGCCGCAGGTCCTCCTCCAGCTCTCGCCGGCGCTGCTCCGCGGATGCGGGCACCGGGCGCAGCTCGCAGCCGCCGTCCGCAGCCAACGGCGCCTGAAAACGCCCCCTCCGCTGCCACCGAGGAGCCGAGGATGGCTGGGGCGGCGGGAGGACAGCTTCACTCGTGCCGTCTCTCTCTCCTTTCCCCCCTCCTCCTCCTCCTCTCCTGGTGTTCCAGGGATGTTAATCTCCTAATCACACCAAAATACCATCCGAAGGTTTGAAATCGAGCGGAGTGACGGGTGGGGGCAGAGGGTACGTGGAAGCAGGGGAGCGGGGGATAATAGACACGCGGGTCTCCCTTTAAATACAGCTGTGTGGAGGAGCAAGACCTAAAGAGAGCGGGTGGTAAACGGACTCCCAGGGGTAGACAACATTANNNAAAAAAAAAAGCCCAAGGAGATAAAAATGAAATCCAGCCAGGAGACCGGGCTAAACGGTGGGAAAAGAGGGCAGCGAGGCCGGAGAAAAAGCAGGAGATAGAGAAAGGCAGGGCGATTCCCTTCTCACGTCCGAGAGCATCTCGCCGGGGATTGAGAGGCGCCTGCGCGCCACTGGCTTGGGAAACCGAGCACGTCGGGGATACGGCACGGGAGCTGCGTGATGACCGCCCGCTCCCGCGGAACGCCCGAGCCCTCCGTCTAGGCAGCCGTACAAGCCTCATTCCTGCAATTGTTTCCTGACAGTCTTGTGTTTTCTGCCCGCTTGCACACCCATCAATATATAGAGAATTACAGAAAAACTGCATACAAAAAATAGAAAAATGCGTGAATATACGTAGAAATATTAGTATATGATATATGAAGATAGGTGACCCCTCCTTCCCTTGAGAAATAAAGTCTTGTCTGCATGAATAAACATGCTGGTTTTATAGGTTTTGCCTCCTAGACGCTAAAATACTTGGGTAAAGAGATTGAGACAGTATGAGAAAACGTATTCATGTGTGCGCTTCTGCACTTCTGGGAGGACAAATCAGACAGTGGCTGTGGAGGGCTACTCCTGTGACAGGAGTTAATTTTCATCCCACGTAGAACTGCGCTGTGCCTCATCAAGAATTTGGTGGGAATCTTAGTGTTGTTTTGAAAAGTGCTCTCAGTGTTGCTTATAATGCCACTGTCGTGTATCACTGTTACCAAATTGCCACCAAATAATACAGTGCAATACCACCGAGTCTAATTTTGGTATTCTGAGACTGATTCCAAATGCATCAAAGACTGGAGGAAGGACTCCAATTATTGTGTTGGCTTTGAATCGTATTGAATCCAATAAGAAACAGGATAAGAAACGTATCAGAATTCAATGTTTCAGTAGATGATGAACATTTTTCAAACATACTACGGGGATTTTTTCCAGAACCCAAACAGAATTCCACTATCATGAATATATTGAAGATCTAATTGCCTTTTTTTGTGTCAGTGATATCAAATTCTGGTTTGTTATTTGAGCTGAAGAGCCTTAAGATCAACAGCAGAGAGGGATTCCTTGAATTTTTTTACAGTTACATAGAATGATGACTTTTTTTATTTCTAGATAGTAAAATAATGATAAACAATATCTATGATATATGATCTAAAGCAACATTAATTTTTACACTACTCTTTTAGCATTTTTTTTTCATCTTAGCTATCCATACTCATTATGCAGTTGTTCTTTTTAACCTGTAAAAACCCTGTTAGGAAAAAGGAATGAATCAACGTATCTGGAGTTAGTATGTTAAAGACTCAAAATATTTCACATTTAAGGCAATGACTGTCCCTTACCTTGTGTTCATGTGATACCTCTCATGGCAGCTTTGGTACACTGTGAATTATTCCCCCAAATGCTGCAGAACTGTAAAAAAGAGCTATTATTTAGATTTCTATAACCTTCTGTGATGCCTAAGTGCTGGTGACAGGAATATACGTTTAACTGAAATGAAATGTAATAAATACAGGCTTCCTCTATTTTGCAACATCTCCAAGTCCTTTGGAAGGCTACTAAAATACATTTCCTTGTTCATATTGGTGCATGAATTCCTTTCAGTCTCACATATATTAGGCAGATACACAGTTATATTTTCACCTGTCCTCAGCTTCCTTCTGAACTCTCGTATCCCAGCAGATAAATCAGTACTTTGCATCTCATTCTTGAAAATAGCTGCCTTGTCCTGGGAAATTAAATATTCGTCATTCTAATAGATATTATTCTTTCTTCTGATTCTCAGCCTGCTGCAGAAGGGGAATAATTCCCCACAAGACACCATGTCGTTCAGATTATTTTCATGCTTATTAGAACTTCAGATTGGTTTAGTTAGTACACACTGGCTGCCCACTGTTTGGATGGGCGTATGCCCTGCTGGGGGAAACACTGGCTGGATGGCTGGGCCCAAAGAGCTGTAGTCAGTGGAGTTAAATCCAGTTGGTGGCCACCACAAGTGGTGTCTCCCAGGGCTCGGTACTGGGGCTGTTTCTATTAAACGTCTTTATTAATGATCTTGATGAGGGGATCGAGTGCACCCTCAGTAAGTTTGCAGATGGCACCAAGTTGGGAGGAAGTGTTGATCTGCCAGAGGGGAGAAAGGCACTGCAGAGGGACCTGGATAGACTGGAACAGTTGCCCAAGGCAAACTGCATGAGTTTCAATAGGGCCAAGTGTTGAGTCCTGCATTTTGGTCACAACAACCCCAGGCAACCCTACAGGCTTGGGAAGGCTGGAAAGCTGCCTGATGGAAAGGGACCTTGGTGTACTGATGGACAGTCAGCTGAATATGAGCCAGCAGTGTGCCCAGATGGCCAAGAAGGCCAGTGGCATCCTGGCTTGGATCAGGAGTGGTGTGGTGAGCAGGACTAAGGAAGTCATCCTGCCCTGGACTCAGCACTGGTGAGGCCTCACCTCGAGTGCTGCATTCAGTTTTGGGCACCTCAGTATAGAAAGGACACTGAGGTGCTGGAGTAGGTCCAAAGAAGGGCAACAAGGCTGGTGAAGGGTTTGGAGAATGTGCCCTGTGAGGAGACTGAAGGGACTGGGGCTGTTTAGTCTGGGAAAAAGGAGGCTGAGGGGAGACGTTATTGCTCTCTTCCAATATCTGAAAGGTGCTTACAGCGAAAGTGGGGCTGGTTTCTTCTCACTGGTGACAGGTGACAGGACGAGGGGAAATGGTCTCAAGTTGCACCAGGGGAGGTTTAGGGATATCAGGACAAACTTCTTTGCAGGAAGGGCTGTTAAGCTCTGGAATAGGCTCCCCATGGAGGTGGTTAAGTCACCATCTCTGGTTGTGTTTAAAAACCGTTTGGATGTGGTGCTCAGGGACATGATTTAGCAGAGGGTTGTTAGTTAGGGTAGTTTGGTCAGGTTGATGCTGGTCTTGGTGATCTTGAGTGTCTTTTCCAACCTGAGCAATTCTATGATACTATGATTCTTTGACACTTCTAGAAAGGAAGGCCGATATGTGTGAGATATATACATAACCATCCTTATTTTGTCAGGAAGAAGCAGTAAACTGTTGAAGATTCATCTACCTAGGCATTGTAGGAATTACAGAAATGTCACACAGATTAATTAAAATCTTTATACAGCCCATTTTTTACCACCTGATGGAACAAATATAAAGAAGAAACCTCAGAATTTGGGTCTGAAACAAGAATTTTATTACAGCAAATAGCAAAACTACTGGAATGCATTTGACACCATGCTGTATTTTCCAAGTAGACTTACCTGCTGCAGATGTCAACAGCCTCTTTCAGGTTTTTTGAACTGTGAACAACACTTTGATGTCTATACAGCACTTCTTCATTTTTAAGGAAGATATGTGGTTGGTTTTGATTTATAATACCCCGAAGTTCTGGATGTTGGCCAGATCCAAGTCAGCTCTTCCTTTATTTGTAGCCAGATACAACTTTGGGAATAAATGTAGTATTGAGAAAAAAAGTTAATCAGAGCATGGCTTTATTATTTTTTGCATTGTAAAACCTATCTGCTTTTTTTTCAGCTTTTTCCATATGAAACAATCTGATTTGATTGTTTGATTCAATGGAGGTAGAAATCTTTTTTTTTTTTTTTTTTTTACATCAGAGCTGGACAGTATCTAGGTCACACCAAACAGATACCTCTCTACATTTTGCTGCTGACCTTAGGAGCAGTTTTGAATTGAAAGGCTACTGAGAGATTCATAATGTCTATTTTTATTTATTTTGTTTAGATAGATTATCCATTTAATAATGATTTATTTTTTACTGTCTGTTCTGTTTTACTTTACTAAAATCAGTACCTGTTTTTTTTGTCTCCTCAGCTCCTGCAGTTTCAAGGACTCAGTGCCTGATTCATTGACTTCCAACATCTTTGGAAGCAATGTTTTTCATAGAACTAGAGCTTTTCAGATTCAGGGCAAGTTTAGAATTAAGCACGATCAAGGTTTGACATCAGTAAAATTTTTGTCTTGTTTAATTTTTGTCTAAGTATGATTTGCAAAGTTCTTCATGTTTTATCCACAGTTAATACTGCCCACTTCTAATGGAATGGCATGATCTATCATCTGAAACAGGGATAGAAATCTTTTTTTCCGCTCATCACCTCTGACAGTAAAAGTCAGGACTCTGCATAAAGCTATTGAGAAATTTCTGCAGACTCATTCTAGCAGGATCAGCTCATTAATGCCACCACAGAAGCAGAGAAATGCTTGTGTCTAGCAAGAGAAAAGCAGTGAAATGGGCAGATCAGAAAGGTCCTTCAGAAAATGGCAGGAACGTACAGGTTTAAACATAAAGATTCAATATATTATTTCCACTTTCTCACGTATTTCTGAAATATTTTCATTGTTCTTTCCAGATTTAGAGAAAAGCCAAATTATAAAAAGTCAGAGCTTATTTTTCCAAATTATGGAGACCTTTT